TTAAAAATCGTTCTGATCCCAAACTTTTGACCGGTAGTGTATGTGTGTGCATCATATGTTTATTCGTGACATCATGAAAGTCTCACAAAGCAGCAATCGGCTGCGTCAGATAAACAAACCTTTTTTCTTCTCTCGCTGACTGAGGCAGAAGAGGTAACTCTCAGGTCTCTGGCTGGGGCCACGGGAGGGAGACGGGGACTGGAGGCCTGCAAGACCACCCAAAAGTCACAATGGGATGTGGGGCAAAGAATTAAATGGCAAAACAGAAGGAAAGAGGAAGATCAAGTCTGATTTAAACAAACACATACCGGTGGGAGACAGCGAGCCATAATCTTCTCCTTGCTACAGAAGGAAAGAGAAAAAATAAAAAGGTCAAATCAGTGGAAATAACATGAATAACGAGCAGTGTATCTGTGGCGTGAATCTTAGAAAGATGTCCATCACAGATATATGTGTCCCTGCAGCACAAAAGCAGTGTTAAGTCGCTGGGGGATATTTGTAGCAATAGCCAACAATACATTGTATGGGTCAAAATTATACATTTCTCTTTTATGCCAAAAATCATTAGGATATTAAGTAAAGATCATGTTCCATGAAGATATTTTGTAAATGTCCTATCATAAATATATCTAAACTTAATTTTTTATTAGTAATATGCATTGCTAAGAACTTCATCTGAACAACTTTAAAGATGATTTTCTCAATATTTCAGATTTTCAAATAGTTGTATCTCAGCCAAATATTGTCCAATCATAACAAACCATACATCAATGGAAAGCTTATTTATTCAGCTTTCAGATGATGCATACATGAAAAATTGACCCTTATGACTGGTTTTGTGGTCCAGGGTCACATTTCTTGGCAGTTTTTGTGAGATTCGCCCTCATTTTTACAACACGTTTTTGATGCGAGAACGTCCAAACCCTAAACAAACATGCGCATGCATCAGCTGAAATCATACACCGTGTCCTAAACAGGCATGACGTGACACCTATCCAGCATAATTTCCTCAAATAATGGAAATACTGCTCACAAAATCAGTCAGTCGCAAAATATTTGATGTTTATTACAGTCAAACACGGTATTAACACGATTAGATATCAGATTTTTTTGTCACAAAAACAAGAACCAAGGAGCCAAAAACAGATATTTTGTTATTCAATGCTTGTCGCAGTTGTGGCTGGTTAGGATTAAACTCATTATTTACTGCATTCTGCCTGGTTATGTCAGGGAGTTAGGTCTGAATGCAACAGCAGTATCTTTGTGTAGTGAATTTAAATGGAAATACTGCTCACAAAATCAGTCAGTCGCAAAATATTTGATGTTTATTACAGTCAAACACGGTATTAACACGATTAGATATCCGATTTTTTTGTCACAAAAACAAGAACCAAGGAGCCAAAAACAGATATTTTGTTATTCAATGCTTGTCGCAGTTGTGGCTGGTTAGGATTAAACTCATTATTTACTGCATTCTGCCTGGTTATGTCAGGGAGTTAGGTCTGAATGCAACAGCAGTATCTTTGTGTAGTGAATTTATGAAAGTACAATCATCCACAGTAAGCTTATTAGCATCTATAGAGATAAAGTGATGGAGGCAGATCATCTCCAGGCTCTTGCGGTTCAGTACCTGCGGCGTACAGGAGAAGGCCACGGATAAAGTGGGAGACACACGGCCATCCAGCGGCACAGCAGAGAGAGACTAGCCAGCCAGAGCAATGCGGAGAGGGAGAAAGATACGAAACGAGGAGCGAAGTTAGGAAATAAACAGAGGGTTTGAGAAAGTTTAAGAAGAGTAAAAGATTTAAAGTTTGTTACTGAAAATGCTGCAGGAAAAACGCTAAAACAAATGTAAAATGCTTTCTTTTAGGGGTCATAATCAGCTTAAATTAAAAAATAATAATTTTTAAATGATGATGATTGTTAAAATGTAATCAGGAAACATGCATATTAAGATTATTTGCATTTATAGAAACAAAGTGATGGAGGTGGATCATCTCCAGGCTACAAACAAACAAATAATAAGTAAATAAATACAAATTATTATTATTTAAATTTACAAGCCTAAAATAAGTTTCGAGAGTAAAATCATCAAGAAAAATCCATAATAAATGTATTTGAATGAACAGAAATAAAATGTAGATAAATCATCTCTAGGCTGCAAACAAAAGAAAAAACATATTGAGAATATTTGTTATAAGATTATTTGTATTTATAGAAAAAGTAATGGTAGCGGATCATCTCCAGGCTACAAATAAAAAAAAAAATATATATATTATTACTTAAATTTACAAGCCTAAAATAATTTTTGAGATCATCTACAGGTTACAAACAGACAGATAAATTATTATATTATTATTATTTAATTTACTAGCTTACAACAATTTTTGAGAATGAAATTGTCAAATAAAAAATAACAACATTCATAATAAGCTTATTTGCAACTAGCGTGATGGAGGCAGATCATCTCCAGTCTCTAAAAAAAACAAACGAACAAAAAAACGAATAAAATTTAAATTTGTGAGTAGCTTTGCAACATGCAAAAAGTTTAATACAAAGGTTTTTTGGTTTATTAATGCACCTAACCCTAATTATGAGCAATGCTAATTGTGAATCAACATTAATCAACAGCAGTGTATGGTAGCCTCCCATTTAGATAGCTAGCTAGTAAACATGTCTGTGTGTCTTTCATCTGTTTGTGAGGGTCTGGCCTCTTCTTTATAGTGTTGGTATCTGTGTCTATCTCAAATATCAGTAGGGGCTCAAACTCACTCTGACACAGAACCAACATGACAGAGAGAGAAAGAGAGAAAGACAGGAAGGGAAGCAAAAAAAGCAGGGCAGGCGTGTTAAAGACGCTCGCCGGGAAAAGCAGATCTAATATTAAAAATGCACTCAGCAAGTTTTAATAATAATTAGATAGTAATAACTATCAATTACAAGATAAGGCTGGTCATATCTTAACAAAACAGCTTTTTCTTGTCACTAGTCACCATTTGAATCATGTGTCAAAAGAACAATTAAACGTAAACTTTTTAATTACTGAGTGCAACTTTAAAGGATGTTAGCAGCTCAGAAAAGCAGTTTCGATAAGAAATAACCTTAAATCTTGTTAATACATTATGCAAAGTTAAAAAGCACAATAGTGACGTCTGTTAAGGGAAGTGAGCACACAAGAGAAATGAGATGGTGCCGAGGATGACGCATGATCTGAGCTGATTGGCTCTTACCATGAAGAGGGCGGAGTCATCGGTGTGAGTGGACCGTCTGGAGGGGTACAGACTCTGGGGTGGGACAGTATGCATATGACTACAGCGCCACACACTCACATTCACACACACAGCAGGATGAAGTGATGGATAAAGTGATTGTGTAAATGTGAAGGAGACACTCACCTCACTGTCTGTCGGACTGGGCTTCGTAGGGCTCTGAGACGACTTGTGCTGAAAATACAAGATTTACTATCTCTAGAAACATCACTGGACACATTTGGGGAGAGTTTCAATCAGGATTTGGATGCTGAAGATCAATTTTCGCCCTTCAGAGCATCTTGATGTATTATTGCGGTAACTCTCGTTATACTAAATGCCATTATATTTGTGACCCTGTACCACAAAACCAGTCATAAGGGTAAATTTCTCAAAATTGAGATGTATACATCATCTGAAAGCTGAATAAATAAGCTTTCCATTGATGTATGGTTTGTTAGGATCGGACAATATTTGGCTGAGATACAACTATTTGAAAATCTGGAATCTGAGGGTGCAAAAAAATCTAAATATTGAGAAAATCATCTTTAAAGTTGTCCAAATGAAGTTCTTAGCAATGCATATTACTAATCAAACATTAAGTTTTGATATATTTACGGTAGGAAATGTACAAAATATCTTCATGGAACATGATCTTTACTTAATATCCTAATGATTTTTGGCATAAAAGAGAAATGTATAATTGTGACCCATACAATGTATTGTTGGCTATTGCTACAAATATCCCCCAGCGACTTAACACTGCTTTTGTGCTGCAGGGTCACAATTTGTTAACTATTGGGAAGCTTTTAGTAGACAAGACTTAAAGGGATAGTTCACCCAAAAATGAAAATGCCAATCTTTTACTCATCCTCAAGTTGTTCCAAGCTTATGAGTTTCTTTCTTCTGTTGAACACAAAAGAAGATATTTTGAATAATGTTGGTAAGCAAACAGTTGACGGTAGCCATTGACTTCCATAGTATTTTTTTCCCATACTATAGAAGTCAATGGGTACCGTCAACTGTTTGGTTACCAACATTCTCCAAAATATCTTCTTTTGTGTTCAACAGAAGAAAGAAACTCATATAAGCTTGGAAAAACTTGAGAATGAATAATTATTATATGTCGTGAAAAAGCATTTGCTAATACATGGCTAAATGTGACTACAGAGGTTGCTGGGGACATTAAACATCATCACACCGAACAGGTAAAGTCATACCTGTGAATTGCTTTTACAGACTCATTGTGTTTATAATCAAACTCAAGCAACTCTTTTCTAATTTAAAGAGTTTGCAGCACTTTTTTTGCAAATGCATTAATAATTGTGTGTATACCTTGACGTAATTCATAACGGCGTCTCTTTGCACTGATCTTGTTTTCTGTCTCTCCTCCTCATACCGCAGAGCCGCCAGCTGAGCTTCCCGTCTCACTCTCTCCACACCGCCACCAGAACGCTGACACACAACCAGAGTAAATTCAGTAAATTTCACGGTAAATTTCATTGACTGCATAACGAGATGTGAATGTAGAGGGACTCTCACCTGATTATGAGCGTATGAAGATGTGACCGCTGTATCTGAGCCACCACTAAAGAGACACCAATTGTTAGTGAAAACAGATATTTTACTTCTCTGTTTGATTTCTAATTCTTAATTTTTTAGCAGCCAAGCACCGATGATTCGTAGGCACCCATTGTAATAGTTGGCGTTCTTCTTGGGAAGTCTATGGCGTGCCATAAAACTGCTTGCGGGAAAGTTATAAAATTTGGCACGCAGATATAAGACAGTCTCAACATTAACCATAGCAAGTTTGGAGTCTCTAACTCAAACCCTCTAGCACCACCAACAGGACAAATTTGCACTAATGTTTATGCTAATAACTTTTGAACCGAAAAGTTTAGAAGCAAAATATTTTTTTTCTGATCCCTTGGCTCAGATCATCTTTAGATTACGCTGGCAAAAAGTTATGGAATGCAAGATGATTAGTCAAACCGTTCTTGAATAACGCGTGAACGAATTTTACAAAGCACGGCAAAATGGACGTGAGCCTATATCGCTGCAAAGGTTTAGTGTATTGAAACCAAACTTGGTGTGTTTTATAATAACCATGACCTGAGGTTAAATGCACAGTTTGCATGCATTTTTGCTTAGAATTTCTGAACAGTTTGAGAACACAAATCCTCTGCACTGAGAGACAGACAGATCAGAGAGAACGACATCAAATCATCTGAGATTTCACACATAGATATGTGAGCCTGCAGCACAAAAGCAGTGTTAAGTCGCTGGGGGATATTTGTAGCAATAGCCAACAATACATTGTATGGGTCACAATTATAGATTTTTCTTTTATGTCAAAAATCATTAGGATATTAAATAAAGATCATGTTCCATGAAGATATTTAGTAAATGTCCTACTGTAAATATATCAAAACTTAATTTTTGATTAGTAATATGCATTGCTAAGAACTTCATCTGAACAACTTTAAAGATGATTTTCTCAATATTTAGATTTTTTTGCACCCTCAGATTCCAGATTTTCAAATATTGTCCGATCCTAACAAACCATACATCAATGGAAAGCTTATTTATTCAGCTTTCAGATTATGTATAAATCTCAATTTCGAAAAATTGGCCCTTATGACTGGTTTTGTGCTCCAGGGTCACATATAGACTGCTAAAGGTCTAAAATTACTTTCTAACACCCATATCATCCTACAAGAGATTTTCTGGTGTCTAGATATGGCTTGGGTCCCTCCTCTAATATAATTCTGTGGTATTGTCTCCCTTTAATTATTTTATTTTAATTTTGTTGTATGTTATTTTATATTCTATATTTTATTTTATCTCAAGTCTTTGATTTTCTGCTCTCAAGTCTGTGCTGTTTTTTCACCCATTTATTTTATTTTACTTTATCTCAAGTCCTTGATTTTCCAGTTTCAAGTCTGTACAGTTTTTAACCTTTTATATTATTTTAATTGTATTGTATTTTATATTCTGTATTTTATTTTACTTTAGCTCATGTTTTTGATTTTCTGGCCTCAAGTTGATGTTTTTCGCCCATTTATTTAATTTTATTATACTTTTTTATTTTATATTATTTTATAACTTTTTTATTTTTATTTTATTTAATTTCATTTTGTATTTTTTATTATTTTATATTTTATTTGCCTTTAGCTCAAGTTTTTGATTTTCTGGCCTCAAGTTTATGTTTTTTGCCCATTTATTTCATTTTATTTTGCTTTTTTATTTTATATTATTTTATAACTTTTTTATTTTGTACTTTATTTTATTTTTTATTATTTTATATTTTATTTGGCACCACAAATAATAACCTGATTAATCAGAAAAGTAACAGCAACATTTTAGGTATCATAATTTGTAACCACTTAATGTATGTATCCTTATAAAGATGGTGCTTTTACCACAAACATCTTGAGAGCCACTTTGGCTCCTTGTATACAAGATCCACATATAAGTTTGTCAGATTTCCTGAGAAGTTTGATCTCTACATCATCTCATCTAACGTCATCCGGTTTTGCTGCAATCTCTCCTCTCTTCATACCTTCATTCCAATCAAACCAAGCTTTCATTCTGTCTGTGTCTTTTCCTTTCCCTCCCTTCTTATCTGCAGAATCGCCCTGCTTTGCGTGTCCTCTGAGAGATACGGTCGATAAACACCGGCTCAAATGAATGTGGGTGCGAGAGTGAAAGACAAGGAGGAGTTTATGCTCACAAAACCCAGTGAAATGAAGCGAGTTCTTACCAGGATCCGAAAGGCAGTGGCCTTCTGTCGTAGTCTGGAAGGTCTGATGCTGCTTTAAATGCCTCCATGTTCAGATATTTAAATATATGGATCTTTCCCTTTATACAGATCTGGAAAAAAATGGAAAAACACACCAATAACGATGCTTCTTTCTCAGAGGTGCGCTTAGCTTTTAAACAGTTCTCAAAGGCAATGCAAAAATATTTTTACTCTTATAAAGTGACGTATTTCTTAGATCAAAACTGGAATGTGTGTTACCTGTGCAGGTGGGCTCTGGAGAGGATTGTTGTCCAGAATGATGCTCTGGAGGTGTCTGAGATTGCGGTAGCATACTGGGATTGTCGTTACCTTGTTACAGGAAAAATCAAGCCGGACCAACGGCAGCTCGGCCAACTCTGCAAACCGATGAACACAGAAATGACACAACAACATCAACACAAAAACGTCACTCATTTCATTCAGGTGCAGGTGCTTGCGTTTCTGACCAGGAGGCAGGCGAACAAGGTGGTTTCTGCGGATGTTGAGGTCGCGCAGAGTTTCCAGCTGACCGATCTGTGGAGGAAGCGTCTGGATCTCATTACAGCTGACGTCCTTGAAGCGAGAGAGAGAGAGAGAGAGAAGTGATGAGTAATGCGCATGAGTGAGAGCAAATGTGAAGTTGACACACACCACACACCAGTTCGGTGAGCTGTCTGAGTTTGCCCAGATCCTCCGGCAGCGATACCAGCTTGTTATTGCAGGCGATCAGAACTTTGAGCGGCAGACGGCATAGATGAGCGGGAAGAGTGGACAACTGGTTCCGACTGCAGAGAGCAAACGAACACCAAGAGAATCAGAAACCGCAGGCTCCAATGACTAGATTTAAGAAAATATGAGTGGTACTTTCGCTTGAATAACTTGGAAAGGGCAATATAGTTACTAAAGAGTTTTGAATGATTTTATGCTGCTAACAGTGTTGCTATTGTTAACTAAAACTAGGGTTGCAAAAAGGTGGAAAATTCCCAGTAAATTTCGGAAAAATTCCCGAAATTTTGGAAACTTTCCAGAATTTTCTTTTTTTTTTGGAATATTCCATGAATTTTTGGAAAGTTTCCAGAAATTTACCAGAAATTGTCCACCCCTTTGCAACCCTAACTAAAACTATTAAAAATTAATTGAAATAAAAATATAAATATTAGATGAAAATAGTTAATATTTTATTTCTATTTTACTGTATTTATGCTATATTTTATTTATTTTTTTTTATTTTACTTGCCACCAAGCAAAAGCAAAACAGGACCTGATTACTCAGAATAGTAATAGCAAACTCTCCTCAACAAGATCTATCACAACTTGTAAACAAAAGTTCTTCATTTGTTAAAAAAAAAACGTTTATTATACGTTTAAAAACTATTATAAAGACGGAGACTGTGCCACACACATCATGAGAAACACCGTGGCTGCTTCTACACAAGTTTCAGTCACTTGAGAAGTTTGATCTATTCATCATTATTGCACCATACAATTATTCAATGAAAAACTTAAATTTTTCTGAAAACTGAAAAAAGTAAATTACTAATACTGAAAAAAATTAAAGCTAAAAAAAAAAAAGCTAAATTTAAAATAAAAACTGGAATTAAAATTAAAAGCTAATTCAAAATATTACATACAATAACAGTAAAAAAAATAAGCACTAATTGGTTTCTTACTGGTCTTAATCAAAAGAGCCCACATCTGTATTTCTCTACTGGATACTCTAGATATGACTTTTAATATTAACCTCTGGGATTTTTGTTTTCTCATTTTATGATCCTCCAGGCGAATTTTGAGAGTCGGATCGCCTAAAGTAATAACACGCCTCACACACGACTAAAAAGCCAAACGATATGAGGTGTCATTATGTCTGAACCCCAAACAGTGCAGGACCCGCTGAAGCTGAAGTTGGGTTGGAGATCAAAAGCATAAGCAACAGTACTAGTGATGCTTTCTTTAGTAAACACCACTAATTAACACTTGCTGTGCACCAACTGTGAGTAAGATATGGTTTACCAATGAGGTACTTGTCCTGCTGGTTGGAAGCTTTTTGGAATTGCGTAATAATAGATGGGTTAAAGGGTTAGTTCACCCAAAAATTAAAAATTCTGTCATTAATCACTTACCCCCATGTCATTACAAACCCGGAAAACCTTTGTTCATCTTCGGAACACAAATGTGACCCTGGACCACAAAACCAGTCTTAAGTGTCAATTTTTCAAAATTGAGATTTATACATCATCTGAAATAAGCTGAATAAATGCGCTTTCCATTGATGTATGGTTTGTTAGGATCAGACAATATTTGAAAATCTGGAATCTGAGGGTGCAAAAAAAATCTAAATATTGAGAAAATCATCTTTAAAGTTGTCCAAATGAAGTTCTTAGCAATGCATATTACTAATCAAAAATTAAGTTTTGATATATTTAGAGTAGGAAATTTACAAAATATCTTCATGGAACATGATCTTTACTGAATATCCTAATGATTTTTGGCATAAAAGAAAAATCTATAATTTTGACCCATACAATGTATTTTTGGCTATTGCTGTCTATGGGAGGGTCAGAGAGAGCTCTTGGATTTCATCAAAAATATCTTAATTTGTGTTCCGAAGATGAACGAAGGTCTTACGGGTTTGGAACGACATGAGGGTGAGTAATTAATGACAGAATTTTCATTTTTGGGTGAACTATCCCTTTAAATCTCAAATCATGAATTGTAAGAACAAATGGACTCTAGAACGTATTTTTTAACAAATCCAATCAATGTTTTTCATATCTCCAAAACTCCATGTTAAAACACCGCTGCCGTTCAGCTGTGGTAACATTTAAAATGGTTCAATACCAATATTTGAGATAAATATATTCTAGTGTTATGTTATGAATGCTGTGTCTGTGTACATGACCTGATGTTTAGGTAGGTGAGGGACTGTAGGTTTATCAGACGCTCTGGTAGTGAACGCAGGCAGTTCTGGTACAGGTTCAAACTCTCCAGCGACACAAACATGCACACCTCCACTGGCAGCTCTGTCAGCCTCCATGCTTGTGCGCAACAGTCATCAGTTCTGGCCTCGAGGCGAGACAACAGCAGACGGACTCACTGCAATAATCTTCAATCCTGCATCTCCCTCGAAGGATCCCTTCTAGATCAAATATCTCTCTCATAAGCCTTTTCAATAAAGCCACTGCAAAATAACACCAAATACAAGCCATATATTTCTAGCTTAAAATAAAAGAATCCTATTTTTTCTCATTTTGAAACAGCTACAGATGCAAAGTTGATTCAAAATGTTTAATACAAGAAGTAAAATACAGTTAAAACCCTAACCAGTTAATCTGAAAACATTAATCAACTGTGCTAATGCACATATACCTACACACACACACACACACACACACATATACATCCAGAAGTGCTGTTTTTTGAAACAGTTTAACCTTCTCCGTCACAACAATGAAGAACTAAACTGGTCTAATAACTTGATACGTAGGAAACTTACTGGCCAAGTACAAAATAATGCATTAATTACTGTGATATTAGTAGTGTTTCATGTTATATAATCAATGCATATCATGAATATTCAATATATCACCCAGCCCAGAATAAATCCACACTAAACTAAATTAACAAGGCCACAAAATTGAACAATTCCTACAAATTTCATGAACAATGCACCAAGCAAAAACCTGTTTTAACACAGTATAACAATACAATTTCTTGCTTTTGTAGTTGCACTTTTCTGTCATGGACACATCAAGTCACAACAGACAACAATGCACAAAAACCACCTCCTGCAAAACGAGGACAAGCTCATTCTTCTTTCTTTGTCTATGTCTGAGATGTGTTTGAGAGCACAGGAGACACGCTAGTGTATGTTTAAGTGCTCATCATGTAGCAACCAAGAGGTCTTCTGCGGTGAACTTGACATGCCTGCTTATATAAAGCCAAGAGGTTCTGTTCAAAACTAAGCATGGCGTGGGAAAGCGTGTAATTGCAATGTCTCTGACTTTTCGCAAGTAAACTGACATGACCACAATCCACAAGCACTCTGAGTGAGGTAACGTTTCTCAAACAACTCGTGCAAAGCTAGAATATATCAGCACCAAAATCCAAACACAATCAAAGAAAAACTAAACTTCATTCAATACTATGACATTATTGACACATGACTATTTAGCACATTTCATTCCCACGCTGTCATTACAGTTACACACACACAAAAAAAAGTATTTAAGGAATTTAGTACATGTAATAGGTTTTTTTTTTTTTTAGTTCTTCCCTCTTTGACAATATTGTGAATTACAAACTACAATGGAATATTTACATGCAATATTTTGTATTGAGGGGAAATTCACAGAGATTTCGTGATTCAGTCTTAAAAGGTTTATTAATCCAATTAAACAAAACCAAAAAGCAACAAAATGTTGATCTTAGATTTTTTTTTTATCAAAAACTCAATGTGGTTCCATTAAATCTCCTTTCGTACAACGCAATCAAAGCAAAAATAAAAATAAACAACCAATAAATAAAGAAAATAAATTAATAGCCTATAATTAAATAACCAACAAATAGCTAAATAAATATCCAATAAATTATTAACCAACAAATAAATAACCAACTAACAAATATATAACTAAAAAACTAAAAATAACACAAATATACAAGAGTTCTGGAGTCCTTTAGGAGTTGAAACCATCACAATAAAATAATCAATAAAGCAAAACAAAGGCACTGATATATTTCAAGATCAGTCAGTGCAGGTTTCTTTCATTTGAAACAGCTCAGACTTACATTTTAGTCTAAGACTAGGCTTAAGCCTTGTCTGTGAAACCGGGGGTAAGAGTGCTAATTAACCAGAATTGTCAAATAACTCTATTATTAATAGAACTGTGAGTCAAAAATTCACAACCAAACCTCCATCTATCTGTCAAGACTGCAAGATCAAAATATTTACTTCCATCATCTTGAAGCAAACTATCAACTAACTGACAAGACAACAACAGCAACTACCACTAAATAAGAGTCTGAAGTTAATTAATCAGTAAGCGGGGACAATCGCGCTCTGCACTGCTTGACAGTAGGGTTGTGACGGTGAGGACATTTTCCCACCGGTTAATCGACGTGTGACAACACCGGTAATACCGGTATCACCGCGGGGGCGTTCCCTCTTTTCCTCGCTTTTAAATAGCTTAACAGCGCCGTGTGCATTTTACTTCCACTTTCGAATTAGCGGCAGTTCAGCGTCAATTGCTTGAATCCAACAACAAAATACAACGTCAAAACATCACTTTAGCATATATAACATATAACTTTTATTAACAAAACAAATAAAAATACACCATGCTATAGGGCAAGCTATGCCTAATATGAAATAACAAATAACTTACATAAAGTTTAAATAGGTATACAAAACTGGAAATAGGCTAAGTAAACAATATATAACCAAATAAATAAGAAACGTAGAACAACCGTATTGTAAATATAATTTATTGTAAAAATCTACATAGTTGTATTCTGGTTATCAGTATTGTATAATTTAGATTTAAGAAGTTAGAATAGGTTTATATATATATATCATTATATAGATCACTAAGTTCAATTAAATAAAATTCATATCAAGTTTATTTGTATAGTGCTCTTCACGATACAAATCGATGCAAAGCAGCTTTACAGAAAATGTAAGTTTCTATTTTAAAGTTTCTACGTTAGGCTTATATTTAGTTGTAGCTTATCGGTGGTGCCTATGTCAAGTTGATGTCCATATGGCAGAAATATACAGTAAAAACCATGTAGTTTATATGTTGCGATTAAACTTAAAGCAAAATGTGGTAGTTATGTATGTTGCTTGAGGGTTGGACTCATTACAAGAGGACCCCAGATGTCAAAAACATTGTTTATTTAATCTCTGGCAATCACAACTGTCACTTGTTCGCCTAAATTTAATAAGTAGCCTTCACAGAAAAAAAGTCATTTTTGATAAACCTCTTATAGTCAGACTCAAGAGCCGATGCTAAACTGTTATTATCACCTTAAAATGACCTCATTAAAAAAAGACTCTGGCAGAAACAAAGCTATGGCACTCACAATCTGTCATTAGCAAACTCACAGCAAAGCAATAGAGCTATTTTTGGGGTTAGAGCATTGAAAGCTTTCCTTTATTTTTTTCCCGTCATTCCTACAGTCTGCATTTTTGTGAACCGGCTTTGGATGAGAACAAAATCAGAGAATGTTGTGTGCATCCCAGCATGCACTGCACAGACGATCAATATTGACACAGACACAAGACACCAAATGTGCTCAGGATCAGAGCTGTAGTCCTGAGCTACGATGACCATTTCCTATTTTCAGACCGTGCAACACAATTCTGGGCGGCTAACCGGGGTAACACTTACAAGACTTATAGGCTTTGTTAAATATGAGCTGTAATAATAGTGAAACTTGCATTAAGAAACACCACTTTCCGCTCTGTGACAAACAGAACGGACAAAGTTAAACTAACTTTATTCCCTAAGACATAAAGGTTAAAGTTATGCATCTACACAATGCAATTACCTCCTTGTGTTATATAGCTGATGTCTACAATAAAAACGTTTTTCTGCATCCATCTTCCCTTTGCAATAGTAATTTGAGACATTAAGCATCATATGCATTATGCTTTAGACTAAAATAAATTAAATTCTAATTTTCCCAGCAATTTGCGCACAACAAAACCACAAAGCAACTGTACACACAGAGATGTCATTGTGGTATTGTCATAACTTAAGAAGAGTAATGAACCTGTCTATCTGCATGCCGATCAATCAGGTAGTCATTTAGTGATTTACCAGTCATGATGCAAACACTTAAAACATACAGCAGTCCGCAAAAACCTTCAGACAGATGTTTATAAAGCCTGGACTGGTTTTACTGTACACACGACTAGGGATGGGTATCGTTAAGGTTTTAACGGTATTACTACTCTTATCGATACTGCTTATCGGTTCGGTACTTTAAACGGTATTCTTATCGGTACTTTTTGTTATTTATATATATATATATATATGACAAATTAAGAGCTGAATTAACATTGCTTTATGTTCTGAAATGTAAAATAAACATTTAATGAAATGAATATAAAACATCAATTTGTAAATGCACCAGTGTGCAGGAATTTTTAGTGTTTTATACATAAGATACAGTAAGAACATGAACAAAGAAACAAAGTATAACAAACTGACAAATACAATAAAACAAATATACAAATGAAATGAAATAAACAGTGCTGTCATTTTTCCATGAAGTTCTACTAACATTACTGTTCAGGTAAGTAATAGCCTACAAAAGAAATCTAAAAGTAATCTCTAAGACTCTAAAAGTCAGAGCTTATCGATACTCCGGTCTTTTATAATTTAGCCCCGGGACCGATTAAATACCGAGTTTCGGTACCCATCCCTACACACAACTCATTAAAGAGGTTTTATGCAACGTACAATATAAAATATTTTATAAACATATGGGGTCCTATACAGCTCACACTGCTTTCCTGATTGCGATGAAATTTAAATCACATGCCCGAACATGTCTAGAAACTCCTAAACCGTGAGGCCTGCACCTGTATGTGTCAGATAAGCACGCTACATTACATTACAGTAGGGCCTGTTTTAATATGTGCGGAAGAGGCATGCATTTAACGATTTTTATGAACAGTCATAGTGCTAATATTGTCCTTCTCAGTCACTATGCACATACATGTGTTTTAAAAGGCAATAGATAGATTGGTATAATAAATGAAGCATCTGTTCATCTGCTATAGTAATAAAATACAATATTAACATCAAAACCTCTTAACAGGGTCTATAGACTTGTGGTGGTATTCGGTAATGCGATATATCACGGTAATGAATATGCACGATGTTGTTATGGTGGGCACTTCTAAATACCGTGAATAATTATATATTACAAATTATTCCGAATTTTGAATGCATTTTAAGAATACTTTTCCCATCAACTGGTCAAAATGCACAACACGGCTGTATGCTGCGTGAAAGACGCGTG